TTTGACAACATTAACGTGGGGGGTTTGTACCATTGTTAGGTAAGTTAGCAGAGATTTTCCAAGCTGAGAAGGACAGCCTGCTGCCAAGCTCTGGCATCTGTCTTAAGAAATCTTTTGCTTCAGGGATGCCCTGAGGAAAATGATGACTGGATGCTTTTCTGAAGGCACAAACAGCCTGTTTTCTCTTCCATAGCATTCAGAATGGGACTCCTTGTTCCAGCCTGCCTGCTCAGGGTTTTGTGGTGCTGGGTTTATGTTTTCATGTGGTTTTTCTCCTGGGATAAAGTTGTGTACAGTGAATATTGATTATTCATCCCATGTCTAGTTCACTGTTTACATCTTGAATTTGACCCAGAGTCTGTGTAAATGAGGAATGCATTGAAACTAAGTCAAGGATCCTTCAGTGACTCGTTTTTGTGAGTTCAATCTTCTGAGACCTCTGATGAGTCTGGCAGGGCAGTGCCTGTGTGCAGAGGGGCAGGGAAAGAGAGTCCCAGCACAGCAGCAGTGCCAGGGAGCAGCAGCATTTGGCCTGTTGAGAGCTGCTCTTTTTCTCCTGCCCCCCTCCCCTTCTGGGCCTCGGGTGAGGCCTCAGTGCTCTGGGCCTTGGTCCCTGTTCTGGGCTGGGTCAGTCCTGTGGCCATGGCACTGCTGGCATGAGCTGGGCTCCACTGCACTCTTTCCACCACACAAGGGGCTCCATTTGCTCCGGGCACAGCCTGAAGCCTCAGCTCTTCTTCTCAAGGGCTCTCAAGAAGAAGCCCAAGGACCAGACTCTCCAGAGGGTCCTTGCCTTGCTGGTTTCTCCCTGGGGTCCGTGTGCTGCCCTCAGGGTCCCACTGTGGGGGCTGAGGGGCTGAGGCTGCTCCAGCTGGTGCTGGTGGTGGCCAGTGCCCCTGGAGATGGCAAATGGGGCCTGAGGAGCCCAGGGCCGATTCTCTCCTGCTGTACTGGGGAGTGGGGCTGGCCCTGGGGCTGCAGGAGCTGCCTGAGCTGATGATGTGCTGAGCATTGCAGACCCAGAGGGCCTGTCCCTGACCCCCATGGCCTCCATGTCCTGCTGCAGGGCCAGCCCTGAGTGTGCTGCTCTGCTGGGCTGGGGCAGGGGCAGGGAGATGGGGGGAGCAGGGAGGGGCTGGACTGGGCAGTGCCAGGGAGGGGAAAACCCCAATGTTGAGCTACAGTGTGTTAGTGTGCAGGGTGGGGGCTCTGCAGGGCTGAGGGGCCTCCAGCCCCTGGCAGTGGCAGCAGGAGCCAGGGAGACACTGCCCCTGCTGCCAGAAACTGGGGGGGTGTGTGCAAGGGAAGGACTCGTGTCTCTGCACAGCCCTGGGGGTGTGAGCAGGGCAGGAGCCCAGCTCAGCTCTGGAGCCCTCTCAGAGCCCCAACACTTCTGGGGTGACTCCAGGAACAGCCTTCACTGGCCCAGGGACATTCATCTCCCCAGCCTCACACACATCCCCTGCAAATGGCCCTGTCTCCTCCATCACCCTCCTCTGCCTTTCTGGCCTGGCCTTTTCATTCCACACTAGCAAAGCAGCCTGGGCACTATCTCACCTGGGCACTCAGAGGGCTTCTCTGAGCAGGAGGGGCAGATTTCTCTGGAACGTGCATTTGTCCCCTGTCCCCTGTCCCATGGCACAGCTCAGAGTGCGAAAACACTCCCAGGCACACATATCCTGGAGAGCTTTTTCAAGACAAAAGTAGGGAGAGGAAGAAGAAAAGAGGCAAAATTAGAGATATGAAAGCAGCCCCGAATATCGGGAGCTTCCTCTGAGCCAGGTTTCCGTAATGGAATCACTGGTGGGATATTTACTTTGATAAATAGCTGCACAAAACTATTCGTGTAGACAATGAAAGAATCAGCTTAATAAAATACATGGAAGGTGTTGTCAATGAAAACAAACAGAGAAAAATTGTTGAAATTAAAAAAAAAAAGAAAAAAATAAATGTCTGGCAATGCTGGCCAGGAAGCCTTCAGCAATTCCCAAGACTTCTGTTCTCCAGAGGTTTCAAGTGTCTCCTAAATTCCACACTCCTGGCTTCAGGCCATGACTTGCCAGAGCAGTTCCAGAGCTGGCCACTGCCCAGAGATGCCCCGGGGCAGCTCAAGTGCCCAAGTGGGACAAGTGTCCCAGGGTGTGTGGGAGCCCTTTGGAGCAGGAGCTGGTGGGCAGGAAGGGCCCAGCTGGGGAGGGGCAGGGAATCTCCCCCCGCAGCCCTGCTGCCCAGGCTGAGGAGGGTCCTCTCCAGCCCAGCAGCACATCGTGTGCCCTTGGGGGCTGCGCTGCCAGGGCTGTTCCCAGGAACTGACTGGGGAATCTCCCGGGGGGCCCCGCGCGAGGCGGGGGCGGGGCGGAGGGCGGGAAGGGGGCGTGGCCGCGCGCTGATTGGCTGCGGCGGGGGTGTCTCAATCCGGAGCGCGCGAAGGGCGCCATCTTTGGCGCGTGGGGGAGACGGGGCGGCGGATCCGGGAAAAGCTGCGCTTGGGTGTGTGAGCTGGGGGGGTCTGCGGGGGAGCGGGGTCTGGGGGTCCCCTCGGGGCTGCGGGGGGAGCGGGGTCTGGGGGTCCCCTCGGGGACTGCGGGGGGAGCGGGGTCTGGGGATCCCCTCGGGGACTGCGGGGAGCGCGGCTGGGGGTGGTAGGGCTGGAGGGCTCGGGAGGGTTTAGCGGGGGGGTTCGGAGGTTCCCGAGGAGATTTTGAGGGGTCCCTGCGAG